ACTCATTGCCGGACGGTCAATGTTAGACATGGACATGATGTTCATAGTAAACAATACAAGAAAGGGAAATCCGTCTCATAGATCAAAGGAACTCGCCAACAAGTAAATGACACAATCATAACTAAGAGCATCAATTCGGAAATGAAGAAAGAGGAAGCGAAGAAGTGAATTGCCATTCAATTCACACTTCTCAATTGAATTTCTTTTCTCCCTCTCCTCAGCACAATGCTATAGCACCATCTCTACCACGACTCTTCCGTCAATCTTGAAACGACTCACGATCAATAACATTCCAATGAACTGCAAGCCTCGGTTGCCATCATATGGCATGGCTGAGGCAACACGCTATCACAATGTGGAACATGTAATCGATAACCTACCAACCTCATACCAAACAAGATGTTCACCCTCTGCGGCCTTGGTACTCATACACCCATAGCATGCCATCGCTACCGGATCGGTCAGTCGGGGCATCGAGGCAACAACCCTGTTGCGAGAACAATTTGATCGTTCTCTGTAACTTGGTGCGTGTGCACCCGCAATAGGGAAACATCATCAATGATCGATCAATGGCAAGAATAAATTAATACGAAAGGCAAAAGAAAGAAGGAAGACGACAGAGAAGGAGAGTGGCATTTAAGACGCACGGTAAAGACTCGAATTAAAAGCCATCCTAATAAAACGATCAATAACAACGATCGAACAAATTCATCGAATGCTTTTAGAAGCAGCCATCGAGCAGGCCTCGATAATCTACGTTAAATACACTTAACAGTATAAAGAAAATGATTGGGTTATAATACAACCCACAGAACGGGAATGGGCTTTCAGTCGGCCTGACAAAACTCAGAGACTAATTCAACTACGCATAAATTAACTTTTAAACTTACCATATCACGTCCACCCTTGTACAAGACACTCCTCGTTGACTACACGTTTTCCCAAGCTTCCGCAAATCGCATTATTGACTACAAAAGACTTAATCAACACGAACCCAGCTAGGCTCTCCTTCGGTAGAAAGTAATAGAGAAAAGCAACAGAATCATAAGACACATGTAACCTAATCACTGATGAACGAAACCATTCATTACTAAAAGAGCTCTGAGAGAGCAACAGTTTGTTACATTCTCGAATCTGGGGCCTACAATCTAGTAGCCAATCATGGTCCAGTTTGATGACAAACAATTTAGCAATTGAGCCCCGATAAAAACCCAATTATTAACATTAACCCAGGTCATGGGTCAAGAAAAGGGAGCGAATCCAGAACTTTCTAACATCGAAGTCTAGAATTGTCCAATACTCTAAAGGTAAGCAGTATACATGCAATAATAACACTTAATCGATCAACGTAAACAATGTCATAATCAATGCGCACATTGACTTAATGGCGTCGATGGCACCGTCGCGCCTACGCGTGCCGATAAAAAAAATTCTCAGCCACGGATCATGTTGCGCAAAAACAACAGCAATCAATGATCAAAAGAGAAGAAATACTATTAAAAGCCGAGACTTCTGCAGGGTTTTTCATTAGCCTCCCTACAGCAATTCAATACGCACGGAAAATATCAAAATCACGCATAAAACACGGAAAAGCAGTGAAGATCAAAACAAAAAAAATCAATCGACAAAAAAATCAACAACCAATCAGAATTGACCCCGCCCACTGCAATAACTATATAAGAAGGTCGCCTAACAGTTTTGTCATTCGAGCCTTACTGTTTGGTGACCGACTCGACGCTCTCATCTCGACGCCCTCATGTCTTCAACAACTTTCAACATCACCACTACAAAGCAAAAGCTAACAAGAAAACTCAATATCCTTCAAAAACTAATCGAAGATTCAAACCAATACAGACCAGAGTGGGAGTTTCCCAGTGACAACTCCGAACTAAAACTCTTCGTCTTAACAAACCAAATATCATTGACTAAGTTGAGACAACAATTGGACGAACAAACAGAGCAAACTTGGACACTCTACGAATCCAGTATCCAAGCAATAGCAACCATGGAGGAAGATAAGACACTGGAAGAAACTTTTAACGATTACTGGGAAGAAAAACAAGGAGACAAAACAATATCCATTGCAACACTATTATCCCAACAACTGTACAAGAGGCTAATAGAACTCGAATGTCAAGCAGCCGCCTTTGATCTTTCACAAACCAATTCAGTAAACCAAGGCAACAATAACTCCAAAGAAACAAACCAAGAGTCTCTCATTCAACTATTTAATTCCTTAATGATTGACCAAGAATTATTCATTGGCGACATAAAGCTACCGGAATTCCATGGCAATCCCTCGGAATTCGGTCCATTTTGGGAACTCTTTCAAGAACTGGTTCATAAACAACCCTTTTCTAACATACGGAAACTTTCAATTCTCCTGAGCTGCTGCAAAGGAGATGCGGCAAGATGTCTACAAATGATTCCTCGGACCGCAGACTCATATGAAAAGGCAATAGAACAATTGAAAGATCAATACGAAGACCCAAGGCGAATAACCATACAAATGATTCGTCAACTTACATCCATGAAACCATGCAATAACGACCCACGTTCCCTGCGCAATAATCTTAATGACATTAAAGCCATTATAGCTACACTACAAAAGCAAGGAGAAATGGTGGATAACTCTTATATGGTTACTCTGGTAACCGAAACATTCTCAAAACCAATTCAAGAGGAAATAGCTAGCAAACAGTTCGATAGTGGATGCCAATGGACAATGGAAGACCTTCTAGTAAACCTAACGACTATTATCAAACGTAGGGAATTCATCGAAAGTCGCAACGAAAACCCTAATGAAGAACACTCGGTATTCCACACACGCACCCGTGACCAAAGGGTGCCATACTGCATTGGGTGCGAACGTGCCCATGCGTTCGAAAATTGTGATAAATATCGCACTATCCCCCAAATGATTGGAAGACTCAAGTCACTAGGCGCCTGTTGGAAATGTTTTGACTCACGCCACAAGACAAAATACTGTCATATGCCAGACTGTGCCAACTGTGGCGGACACCATAATCCAATCCTATGCCAACGAGAATCCGCCAAGTCACAGTCAACTTTCCAACCACCCTTTCAAGGTCAATCATCAATACCAGACACTAGAGAACGTCGCTGGAATCATAGCACACTTCCTCACACTGTCATGTGGAGGCACCATAGACCTGAGAGAAACTCTCAAGAGGACAATAATATGCAAAGACCGAAGCCGCTATTTAAGACGCTCATCACTTTTCCCACGAAGACGAAGACAAAACGTAACAAAAAGAAGTGTAAGCGACTCTCCATCAGAAGTGACAAATTACGACATACCAATACAATCTCCAAATCGGGTACAGAACGGATCCCCTCCATTATCAAACTACGGCACCGAAAGCAACCCACGCACTGGTGCAACTTCTTCTTCACGTCAAACCCACCATTACAATAAAGCACTAGCAACAAAAAACATCAATACAGCTTACGTGAACTTCCAACTAAACCTTCCATCCCATCCCGACACCGAAGTAGAGTTCATTGATGGGATAACATCGAATGCCAGACTAATGGTGGTCCCACTAAAGATACAAAATAAATACATCAACAAGAGAGAGCAAGTTTACGCCCTTTTAGACTCGGCATCAGATCAATCGTTCATCTCTTCATCATTACTAGAAAGACTACACCTTATACCTCGTTCGGAAATCTCCATTACAATTAATACATTTGGAGGACATGCCGAGAAGAAGCACGTAAAACGTGTCGAAGCTTTATTACTGAACCTACAAGAACAACCCTTGGAAGTAACACTGCTTACAACCAATACAATATCACACGCGATCCCACTGTTAGAGCTCAATGAGGAAGACAAGTTCTTCCTAAAATGCAACTTTCCTAACCTCCAAGAATACTGGCTGCACGACGCAACAACAGAAGTTGTTCCTGATATACTATTGGGAATGGACTACTTCAACATCATACTCCGAACAGGCGAACCTCTGGTGCAATTACCTTCAGGACTCCACATGACACCAACTTTCTTCGGTCATATTATATGTGGAGCACCACACAATAAGAATACCAAGATGAAACTTCTATCAAACAAGATCAGCAATGTAAACCATACCAAATGCACTAATATAAACCATTCCCAATGCACTTACAACCAAACTAACTTTGGCTATTCCAATCTACGGAAACTACCCAACGCTGTCAATGAAGTGCTACATACGAACGATGAGCCAACAAAAGCCCCATACTACATGCCTCATCAAGCTTCAATAACGACTACTAGTACGACGACTAATACCAAAATTGTCCGTTTTTATAAAATGCCGAAACAACCAAGACTCAACGACTCTATCCATAAAAAGCCACCACTCTTGGCTAACTTACGTAACATACTATTGAAAGCAAAACTCAGTTCCAAGATTATGACAGCCGGAATGCAAAAAGGTTCCCACTTGAATTCCTTGCAAAGATCAGAACGCGACTCAGTACAATTTCTACGGCTCATGCTTGCGAAACAACCACTAATACCCAACAACATGAAAACCTTTCGCTTCTGTCGTCTGCCCTTTAATATAAAAGCATCGCCACTCTTACTCGGAATCCCGATCCACCATAGACAAGAGCAAGAAAAGGAGCAAAACGAACCCAGTCTACCAGCCAGTCAGCTAACTCTATGGAAATACTGGCTTACAATGGCACCAACATTAACACCAATCCAGGCCACATGCCCTCTAAGCAGACACGGCCCACACTTACAGTTTCTGACAAGAGAAATCAATTGGCAGTCTCTGCAGCAATCAGAACGAATGCAAGTCTACGGAATTGAATACTGTATTGAAAAACACGAACCAGACCACAAGATAACCGCTCAACTTCCATTTGAAGTTAAACTTCATACATTCCACTTCACATTGGAATCGGTAATTAGAAAAGTAATAGAAGCAAAATACTGGGCGGCCCCCTCAAGCCGAAACCATGACCAAATGAAATGTAATTTCTGTATAAAAGTTGGTCCAAATCCAGAATGCAGGATAAGAAAAGCAAGTAACGTGACCACAATATCCATCTACGCCATTGTTCTGACGGCATACATTACATCTAATGGTCACTTGTAAGAGTTTTAAGACGTCAACGAAGCTTCATCAAATTTCCACTGTGCATAGACGAGAAAAACGAATACGCGGAGGTCAAGACGATCTAGGTCCTCTTCGCGAAGTCGGAAAATTTGACAAAAAATGGAATAAAGCAACAATTACCCAACTAAATACAAATTTTATTCATATTACCTCCACTACTGATGGTTGCCAAGAACCAATTCCACCACCAGCTAAGCTAGTTCAATGTGAAGACTACGCCAGAAAAAGTCGTAATCAAACCATGTCAGTTACACAGTTTAAATTAATGCCACCCGAAATGTGCATCCAGCTACAACATAACGATCAAGAATTCCATAATATGCACACTCTACTAAAAACCCGCGAACTTCCATGTCACGAAGAAATCCTTCATTTAACAGCAAATATTCAACAACGTTTCTCATTCTCTCCAATACCAATTCTGCACCAACGTTCCCGTACTGACAAGAGAAGAACTGCAGCCGTCCATCAGGACGCACAGATCAGCTACTCATGTACCGCTACCAACCAAACAATAAATAAAACCAGGAACTGTAAAATGAACAACTCCTGCGAGTGCAGTCTTACCGAAAATTACTGCACTAATGACAACGTTTCTCCATCTGAACAACTTTCACTTACACCACTTTTGCCAATTTTCAGAAGTTTAGTAAATACAGAAAAACTAAACAACATTCCAATAAGACCAACTGAACAGTCACTAAAACTGTTACTTTCAGCTGACCCACTTAACAAAAATATCGTGCAGGAACTTAAAAACTTTCAATGCCATATTCCTTCAAAACGATTAATTGGATGCAGCAAATGCCTTGAAAAACCGCAAGCTACAATTTTCTTCCAATCAAATAGCAAAAACCCGATCGCACAACTAAACTGCATTCAACAACAATTCACTACAATTGCATTCAACTTAGTCAGTGCAATCACATTCCTTTTTCAACAAAACCAAAATCTACGAAATTTGCACAGCAAAATATGGTTCCCACACAACAATGTTCAAACTTCAAGGACACCAAACTACACAAATCTAGTGAATCCTCAGTCAACAACCAACTTAACCTTGAAACCACCAATAAATTGCTTAATTAAACCTTTAAAAAAAATTGAGCTATAGAAATACAATCCATTCAACATCTAACAAGAAATACTCCACTTTTATTATTTCTTCTCAACCCTTAGCCAAAACCTAATCCACTCTAGCACCACACAACACAAAACCAACTATACGCAATCATCTCACTACTTCCTCTAATGCGCATATCCCCTTTGAACTTTCTCGCTACCTCTCTCTCTCTTCTCTCTCTCTTTCTCTCTCTCTCTTCAAGCACTCCTCTCACTCACCATCGCCGCAATACGACTTCCACTGCGACTACTCGGCTCGTCACGACTACTACGCCACTAGCGGACTACGAGTTCAATGCCTGCCTCCCGACACATCCATAGCTATATCTCGACCAGCAACTCCACAACTTCCGAACAACTCCACATCAGAAGATACGCCATAATGTTAGGTTTGTAGTTTAGATTTATGTTTTAAGAGAATTGTTAGTAGGTAACATTAAGCAGATATCGCTGTATTTTTTTTAATGTCGATCCATTTCAATTTTTTTCTACTGTGCTGTATTCTTTTTATACTACTCAAGCAATGTAAGGTTAGCGTTATGCACGGTTGGCCTCAAAACCTACTTAACCATATACACTTAACCATTACAGCTAATTACAACTAAAATAACACTCAAGTGGCGGGGAGGATGCAAACGACAAATAATGCGTTTTCATCAACCTCTTCGTTGTGCGGAGTGTCATGACGTTTCGTCATGATGCGACGAAGAAACCAAGGTGAATCCTTGACACGTCATCCTATCCTATTGATTAACTAACTCAAAACCGGCGTTCAAATTGCCGCTGGCCGCACTGCCAGTCCATTCCAACCAGCCATTCCAACGGACCGCCCCCTGGCCCGGGTATAAATACCACCCATTTCTGGGGGTATAAATAACGCACTCGGAGACTCCGGGCCAGTCTTCGCGGTCTTCGCCGGTCTCCTCAACTTCTCCAGTCGTCTCCAGCGGTCTCCATACAAGCGACTCCGGTCGCACCAATAACCTAAGGCGGCAACGCCAGCAACAACCAAATAATCAATAAGCACAAAGCAATCAATAAGGTACAGCCAGTGGATCATCCACCGGCCAAGGCCACCAATCAATATCACTAACCAAGGACCACCAACTCACACCTCCAGCCACTACCGACCAATACCCTAAGGCACAAATCAATATTGAAGAACCCAATACGAATTCAGAGTAAGGGCTAACCAAACATAACGCTAACTAATGTAGGAAATAAATTGTATAAGTTGTAATATAAGTCAACAATTGCTTTAGGAATTGTGGTATAAGAGATGTTAATAAATGTTAGTATTTACAAGTGTTGTTCAATAAAATAATTTAATAGAAGTCGCATCATAGGGCAATCTACCACTCTACCGTCGAAACACTGTCGATTTTACAATTGCCGTGAGGGGCACTCAGCTAGAGAAATTTTTTGGAATAATTGTGCAGCTGAAAGATCAGACACGTTAAAAAAGAATATCTATAGAAAGTGGTTGAAGAAGTTTCGCCAGTTAAACTATGGCCTTGAAATCAACCACGTTCCGGACACTCACCTACGGTAGATATTGGACGCATTCCAGGATTCTCTAAAGACAACGTGACGCCAGTACCCATCAAACTGCAGTGGACCTCCAGCTCTCCCAGAGCACCGTGAGTCGTGCCTATCGAGCTGTGACGAAATTGAACAAGTTTAAGATGGGACCCTCAAGAGTCGAATAAGGCTGCTCGGTGGACACATGTTAATACCTTCCAGGGTTTGCAGTCCGAAAGTCGTAGTTTTGATTAGCTAATGTTCTAGGGTTGGGAAGTGCGCAGGCTTTTCAAGCAACATTCGGAGGCATTAGGGGGACCGTGCAGCTCAGCAGCGACAATAAGCTTCAGCAGATGACCTTCACTCGAAGTAGTTTCTTTTCTCCGGTTGCTAAATTGCATCACTACAGACTTCAAGCGATACCACCAGTGCACGCGCAGACCACTATTGCTTCCAGGTTTATAGAGTGCATAGATCTGCTTAGGATATCACACATTTATGGCTTCTGATAGATGAAATTGTTCCACTGCGCGGCAACTCGTAGCCCATATGTCACGAGTGAATGCCGCAATGCTATATACAGTAACTTGGCTTCATAATTCGCTGGTGATACACAATGCAATCAACAGTTGCTCCGCTTGCTCGCCAATTTTCTTATGGAGAAAAAAACTACAATGATCGCGAACACCTCGAAGCGGACGTCCAGTTTCTTGGTGTCGAAGACTGCGTAGTTCTGAAAGAAGTATCCATTCATTTGCTGATAGATGGAGGACAATGGTCACCAGCTGTTGTGAATAGGACACTTGACGAAGTTGGTTCAAGGAGAATCGATGTCAAATCGGCACTTACTTTTGATTCAACTTGATAACAAGCACAACACCACTACGTGATCGATAAAACATTTATCGTTAAAAATCCATGAAATCAGAATCAGCAGCATCGGTCTTATTCTCAAAACCACAGACAATACCATCTTACAAAGTGGGCAGACTCTCCAACAACTTGGAAAAGAAATCAATGTGGGTGAATGACTGTATAGCGAATGCAATGTTTTGATGTGAAATGCATCTCAACATATGTATAGAGAGCTAGCCTAGGAAAAGAAGGGAAGAAATCCTGCAGGATGAATGGAACCGAAATGATGGAGACAGTTAGAATAAGAACAATTTCGAAGAAAAACTCATAACCGGCATCACGAGTCGAGGAGAATTTCTCGTAGTGTTGAAAAAATTACAATTTTAGTAGTCTAACCCCGGTATATTCATTTACAGTGAAAGAAACTGAGGGCGATAACACAGACCAAAATGGGCGCAGAACAAGGGCAGAAACATCATTCGAATTGTGCTGAAAGCAATAGCTCTTACCACTTTTGATGGGTCACTAATCAGACTAGATAAGATAACCAGAAAGGCTACTCCCCCCTATGGGCTCATGCATACATGCTAACGGTCTATATAATCCTAAAAAAGCGTCATCCCTCATTTGCTTCTACACTCACATCCACCCCTCCAGCAAGCCCCGTAGAGCTCTCACAATTGCTGTTCCCGCCTTCAGAGTATCCGACAGGAGGCCCGTCGTGCGGCGAGAAGGCAGACGACGACGCATCAGCGGACGAGTCGCAGCGCGTACTGTAGCGATTTAGCGTCAAGTTAAATAGAATGTGCTGTAGTACGTCCCACATCGCACATTATGCGCTGCGACTCGTCCGCTGACCCGTCTGCGTCTTTGGCTTCTCGCCCCGTGACTGACCTCCTGTGCATCCGCTTCTCCAAGCCCACGCCCACATTTTTGTCCTCTGTCGTCCTCAGATGAAGTCAAAACGAAAAAAGGAAAGAAGTTATTCAGTACAACAAAATGAAAATCATCATCAGTGAAAAGACCCATGTATCAGAACAAAAAAACGAATTAAACAGATGAACACATTTCCGACGGTAATGCGCTTATTAAGTAATTCAGAACACCGTAATTGCTCGGTGATCGCCAGTTGTCATGGGTTCAAGATCGTTTATGGATATAAATATAATATATTGCAGAAAGAAGCGCGTGATAAACACGTAAGGAAAATGAGAATGAAATGATAGGGTAGAGCTCTGACTTGAGAATGTGTGAACCAAGATTTGGAACGGCTAAATGGAAGCGTTCAAGGACGGTAATCGCCTTTTCTACGCAAGCAATGGGTGTAGCTCTTTCAACTGCACGGGGACTCGCAAAAAAGCCTAACGCCTCTGCGCCTCGCATATAACAGAATCGAAGGCTACCCTCTGACATCAGAGCTCTACACAGCAAGAGCGGCATCATTTAAAATGCATAATCGAGATTACCGACTGAGACATGCGATCGATCAGGAATGCACTAACTACTAAACACTATAAACACTAATCGATCCGTCATTCGTAATACCACAGGTCGTGTTGCACACCTAGCACAGCAGCAGATGACGGCACAGACAGCATCGGGTAGAGATTCATCGAAGAAGTGAAACTGCGACGATGAGTGAGCATTCACTCAGCGTTACCCAATTTTCGCAGATAGGCATCGTGCCGCTTGTATTCCTCTAACGCTTTCTCCGTCTGCATGTCTGGTGGGAGTTCGCTGCGCTTTTGCGTGAATCCAACTTCTCTTTGATTCGTTTTTTCCACGTTTTGCTGAAATTCACTCGATTCAAAACCAACGGTCGACAAACCCGAGGTACAAGTCAAACTTGAGATATCATACTAAAAACATATCATGATTGCGATAAAACACTTCAACTCTCATTAAAAACACACTTTCGCCCATTCCACAGTGTTGCTGCAGCAATTGGAGGGGAATGGAGAGCAG